GGTGTGTGGTGTTATTGTGGGGTCAAAACAACACGCCCGTCTGTGTGGTGGTGTGTGGGGGGAGGTGTGTCGTGATAGATGGTAGCGGTGTGTTGGTATGTGACGGTGTGTGGTGTTTGGTGGTGTTTTGTGATTGGTGGTGATGTGTGTGGAGTTCAGATGTAGTGTTAAACAAAGTTCATCTGCAGATCTAAATAAAAGATTTTTACAAATAAAAATAGATCGAAATAAAATATTTTTACAAATAAAAATAGATCTCATCCTCATAGCTGTTTTAAAAAACCAAACGACACAGCTGAAAACTAGCATCAAATCAAAACATAGTTTAAATATGACTACTGCGCGGGTTAATTAAAACAAAAAAGTTTAATCAACCCCAGAGACTGCGTGTGGCTGAGTGGCCTGTTACGTCACACAGCGTGACATCAGCTTTGTTTGGTCACGTGATTTCCCTTGATTACCAAATGCTCTCACGGAATCAATTCAGGACGCGCCTGAGTGCTCACGTCTTGCACAACAAGAAAGAGATCGATGTCAGCCCAGACCCGCCACGGCCGTTAGACACCCTCCCAATAAACATGGGCGGGTCGATGAAAAGTTCCACTTGACTGTTCACGTTAATTAGAGCCGTACCGCGGACACCTGAGAAGCAAAAAACTCAACCCCTGAGTCTCGTTTGGTTTTTGTTGTTGTCTGGATGAATTTCAATACAACGTTGGGGACATACTAGAGGTTTATTAATTTTTGACGGGCCGACTTTATTTACAATGGTTGTTTGGTTTTGTTTCTCAATTAACCACTAAAAACGAATTGAAGGCCGCTTTTGTGTGTTCTTTACACTACTAGTCTTTTAACTAAAGCACTAGTCCAAATCCAAGTCCAAAATTTAACCAAAATCTATCTAAACGCGTGTATAAACTCAAAAGTATGTTACGCGAGATAGCATACATCGTAACATATATATATATATATATATATATATATATATATATATATATATATATATATATATATATATATATATATATATATATATATATATATATATATATATATATATATATACGTATATATATATATATATATATATATATACGTATATATATATATATATATATATATATATATATATATATATATATATATATATATATATATATATATATATATATATATATATATATATATATATATATATATATATATATATATATATATATATATATATATATATATATATATATATATATATATATATATATATATATATATATATATATGCTGTCGAGCTACATAACCTTTCACGTAGAGTTTAATGTGAGCACTTCAACCAAATGTCTCCGTCTGGCCATTGACTCAAAAATCTGTCGCAACAATTTGGTGATGGCGCCAAACATGTTAGATCCTACTTGGCATATTTCTTTTATCTCATGCGGTGGGGGGGGAGGTCTCCAACAGACGCCAATTTTCTTTTATCTCGTGCGGGGGGGGGGGGTGTCTCTGACATATGCCATGTTTTCTGGCTGTCCTGTTAGCACTTGTCAGGTCTAATGGATCGACCAGCAGCTTTCACATATCTGTGTTTCAGCACGACAGTATTCACATTTCACAATGCCATAGAACGTAACTTATTACAAAGTCTCAGGCCAGTATTACGGACGGAGTGGCCTAGCGGTAGAGAGCTGGACTGCTAACCCGTAAGTCAGTAGACCGTCCCTGAGTCCACCCAGCTCTGATGTGTACCTAACTCACGTTAGGTGAGAATTTTTTAAAGTCAAGCTACTTGCGTAGACTTTTCCAGCTAGTGAAAAATAACTTTGCTGATATAAGTCAATGACCCAACCCGGGGGAAATCGTCCAGAACCCGGAGTCGGCGTGGTCGAGTCGGTTGCAAAACCCAAAAGTCTCGAGGTCGAACCCCGATGGCTAGATACAGCAACCCCCCCCCTAAAATAAAATAACTGCTGCCTGTGGTTTGTTCTTTCCGAAAAGAAAAGCAGGCTGAAATCGGAGTCGATGGCCTGCCTATATGTGTTGGAGGGAATCCCAAAGAAGAGGTGTTATTGTTCCACAAAAGATCCACAGAAATGACGGTATAAATGTTTGGATCGTTGACTTCATCCATTGTATATATTGTATGTATGCTCTCCCACTCTCTGCACATGAGCCATGGAATACGTTTTACTTACTGTGAACTCGTGCCTTTGGTGGCTGGCCAATAGGCCGACATGCCAGGTTCTGTTCCATCCCGGACGAGCGTCGCGAGATTATCGAGTGCAGGCACACATTTGGTCATGTGATTACTTTGAGAGTAAACCGAACTGAATTTTTATAAACTGTAATTTAAATTTAAAATGTGTGAACCTTATCATACTTTATTCTTTATTCTACCCCAACCCAAACCTCTTTCTTTTCTCCATACCCCGACCCCAAACCCATCTGAACTGAAGAAACAAACCAAATACGGCAATTCCTATTTATCTTCCTTGGAAAATTTCTAAGACATTTCCTAAGACAAATCAAATACTTGTGTTTCGCTAGAGAAAAAAATTCCACCTACGATTTCTAACAGTCTCAAACACGAACCAGATCAATAAAGATCACGTGACCGAACCTGACCTATGAAATAACGACTGCTCTGAAAATATGGTCGTTGCGAAAGTTCATTACGTCGGGGTTAAAGGTCGCTGTATTGAGTAACGTTAAGGTTACGTCTAAGGTTAGAATAAAAACTCTTTCTTGTAATTTTTTGACAGAATCGAAGGCTAGGCTTGGCATTGGCTTGGTATCATAGCTATGTCTCCGTCTTACTCTAATTTTTACCCATAACAAGTTCTCTCCGGAATAGGCTGGGTAATGGGTAGTTGTGGTATCATAGCTATGTCTCAGTCATACTCTCATTACTATCCTTAGCAAGATCGTGCCACTAGGCTTGGTACTTTGATCGTCGGCTAGGCTTGGTAGTTGTGGATGTGGTATCATAGCTATGTCTCCATAATACTCTCACTACTACCCTTAACAAGATCGTCCGACAAGGCTTGGTACTTGTATCGTCGGCTAGGCTTGGTAGTTGTGAATGTGGTATCATAGCACTGGGCGAACTAGAAAAAAAGGGCCACCCCGCAAAAACAAAATTTAGACCACCCCATATATATATATATATATATATATATATATATATATATATATATATATATATATATACAATCACAAAATACGAACATAGGATACTCATTGCTGGCCTGTTCGGGATTTGATATACATCAATTAAAACTAATTAAAACACCTTGTCATGTGTGTAAGTACATTAGTGTGTTTAGTATAAATCAATTTTAATTAATTTTTGATAGAAGCCTCAACAATATCCAGTCGGCCAAAATAATATAAAGCATGAAAGCTTTGTATAAGTAATGGTGTCTCGTGTAATGTTTATTTTTAGTTTTTTTAATTTTTATTATTAATTTTTAAAATATTATTGATTTAATACAATACCTTTTTATAAAATGTTATTCTTTAGTAATTACTTTATAAAAAAAATAATTAAGAGAAGAAATTGCTTTTTAATTTGTTTAGTACAAATCTATTCAAAGGAGCTTATGACCACCCCTATTGGACTATTTTTTTAAAAAAGGGAAATAAGTCATAGAAGTGGTTTGAACATTTGCTAATCTTTGATAAGTTTAATTGTATGAGAAAGACTCGGCTTTCACAGTGGTTTAAAAACAAAGGGAAAAAGAAGATACAAGAGCGTGGGGTGGTGTCTATAGAATAAAGATAATCCAACCGCAGCTAAGGTATTTTTTACAAAACAACCATCAAGTCAAAAATGAAAGAAAATTTACTTTTTTTTTAAACTATAAAAAAATTTATAATGGTCGGCTCTGGTCCCCTAAATGGCGTGCCCCCCCCCCCCCGCATTGCGGTGTCTGGCGGCACTGTAGTTCCGCCCCTGTATCATAGCTATGTCTCCATAATACTCTCACTACTACCCTTAACAAGATCGTCCGACTAGGCTTGGTACTTGTATCGTCGGCTAGGCTTGGTAGTTGTGAATGTGGTATCATAGTGATGACTCTACCTTATGTTCATCTTGAGCAGCAAATGTTACTTGCTAGACCTAACCTTTACACTAGCCATCGGTACAGACAGGATCTGCTGCACTGGACAATCAGATTCGATGTTAACAAGAGGGTCTTCTTAATTAAATCTTGTATTATCCAATTAATGAGGTTCGGCTACTCTTCTGATGATTTATTTTTTTCCTTCTTTACAAATTATAAATTATGAAGTAATTTCAATGAATAGAGACCAGATGACCCCTTGACCTCTGTGTCTGCTCGATAAATGGAGGTTAGATGACCCCTTAACCTCTGGTGTCTGGATTATGAATGGAGGTCAGGTGACCCCTTGACCTCTAGTGTCTTGACAATGAATAGAGGTCAGGTGACCCCTTGACCTCTAGTGTCTGAACAATGAATGGTGGTCAGATGACCCCTTGACCTCTAAAATGTCTGGACAATGAGTGGAGTTCAGATGACCCCTTGACCTCTAAAATGTCTGGACATTGAATGGAAGGCAGATGACCCCTTGACATCGGGTGCTTGCTCCTTTCAGCCTAATTAAACCAGTAAAACAAGTGTCATTAAATAATTTGATTTCAAAGACTGCTTCATCGATTCTATATCATTGGTATCTTCTGTTGTTGGTCTGTTTTGTTACAAATTAATTTATTCCTTTTTTTTAATATCATTGCAGCCGGATGCCAACGGCTAAATGCCGGCAACGATATCTTCCAAGCTGAAGGGGATGATATTTGCCGACCGGCCCTCAATCAGAACCGGCCGGACGACCACCAAGGATGAATCTCAAGTGGAACTTATTGACGACGGAGCAGGGATACACATCGACGGAGCAGGGATCCACATCGACGGAGCAGGGGTCCACAGCGATGGAGCAGGGGTCCACAGCGAGGGAGCAGGACTTCAAACAGACGGCGAGCATGTCGTGGTTGAGAACGCCGGTCCCAGCAAGGACGCCGTCAAGGCCAAGGGGCGTCGGCGTCGTCCCGCCCCCAAGGGACACGCCCAGCAGAAGCCCCGCCTCCACTGGCAGAAAAACCTGGTGGATTACGTCCAGGAGGAGGCCCGGGAGGACAACGACACGCCCACCCATGTCCGCGTGTGGGACGACCTGATGGGCGGGGCCGAGGCGTCTAGCACCGCCTCCCCGGTGCGACACTACGTCAACTCCAGCAACGTCACGCCCACACGCCGGCACAAGATCCTGGGCGACACCAGCGACGACGAACGAATTTTGCTCAATGTGGGCGGGGTCCGGCACGAGACCCACGTGACCACCCTCAAAAACGTCCCCAATTCCCGCCTTTCCCGTCTGGCGGCGCTGCACACGTCCAGCGGGAAGGGCAAGCAGGAATATTTTTTTGACCGGCATCCGGCTGTTTTTAATTCCATCATAGATTTCTACAGGACAGGTGAGTTCTCCTTCTTTCACAGTCGAAGAATTTGGTTCCCTTTGTCCAGAGTTTCTTCCAGACATCTCTTCGGGGGGGGGGGGGGGGCGAAATTAGTCTACCACACCCCCCCCCCCGAAATTTTCAAGTGCCCCCCCCCCCTCCTTCGGAGAAAAAAGTCTGGAAGATACACTGCCTTTGACCCACCAAAATATCATTCCCGTTTGTTTCACAACTCCAAAATCTTTCCCGTTTGTATCGTAACCTTAAAATCTGATTCTCTTTGCATCACAACCTTAAAATCTGATTCTGTTTGTATCGTAACCTTAAAATCTGATTTTGTTTGTATCGTAACCTTAAAATCTGATTTTGTTTGTATCGTAACCTTAAAATCTGATTTTGTTTGTATCGTAACCTTAAAATCTGATTCTGTTTGTATCGTAATCTTAAAATCTGATTCTCTTTGCATCGCAACCTTAAAATCTGATTCTGTTTGTATCGTAACCTTAAAATCTGATGCTGTTTGTTAAGTAACCTTAAAATATGATTGTTTGTATCATAACCTTAAAAAATCTGATTCCGTTGGTATCGTATAAATCTTCCAATAGGATTCTGTTTGTATCTTAACCTTACAATCTGATCACAATCTTACAATCTTGATCCAGTGTAGAATTACGCCACCTTTTAATGTATAACCTACATTTTTTATGTACAGTTTATTTATTTTTATTTTATTTTAAAGTGTTTTTTTAAGTTAAACTCAACATATGGACGCCCACATTGACTCGACCCCCCCCCCACACACACACACACACAGACTCACACAGGGGTCCCTTAGTTTATTTTTTTTTAATCCAGGACAATATTTTTTTGTGTGCCCCAGTGATTCTAATGTCATTGTAGTCCACCCAGCCATCCTTCCAATACACCACCGATCGAGTACACCATTAGCCACTACCACATTTAACCACAGACTTGCCACATGTGAACCACAATGTTTTCGCCATTTAAAAAAACAAAACGTTTCTATCATAGATGAAAATCAGAAAGCAACTTTTTGAAAAATCATCACAACACACACCGATCTGCAGATTGTCGAGTTTTTTATCAGCCCCAGCGTTTTTTTATAACTTTTGACGACGTAGCCAGCCAGGAAAAGTGGGTTTTATATTTTTTTAATTCGCTCCTGTCAGTTTGTATCAACCTGCAGAAAATCATCGTAACTAGTGGGGAGCCAAACAAAATAAAAGTTGGGTGGATTCAATACAATTCTAGCGCTTGGGGCTGGGTGAGCTCTTGCATTTTTATTGATGTGTGTGTCTGTAGCTGTGTGTGTATGTTTGTGTGGGTGTGTGTGTAGCAGTGCGCATGTGTGTATGTGTGTATGCTGGGGTTTTGATGTCCGGTATGTATAACTATTTTTATAAGCTTTTGTTTAGTTCACAATGTCTGTCTGTGGGTTTGTGGCAAGTCTAGTAACAGTTTCTAATGCAGCGAACTGGAATCCTGGATCGTGCAGAAACTTCTAGACCTTATGAAAAGTCCTGGATCTTAACGAAAGTTCTGGGTCTTAATGGAAGTCCTGGCTCCTGTGGAATGTCCTGGGTCCTAGGACTTCTAGGACTACTAGGACTTCTAGTCCAAAGGGAACTGACTAAATCCTGACATAAAAGAACAGTACTAAACAAATCAAAATCGACAAGACGTTTATAAAGTTATTTCCTAACGTGATTGGAAATCTGGGACCTAACGACCAAACAACTTAACGTCATCTCAGTTTACGGCTAAAAGTCTAGTCAGCGTGGGGCTGAAATAAAAATAAAACATTAACTACAAAGAAACAACTAAATTAACAACGAAGGTTAACCGCTGAGTCATTACAAGGCGAAAAAAAACAAATACAAAAAAATAAAATAAAATAAAACAACTAAGGTTGAGAGATAAAGAAAAACAAGAACCCAAGTACAACGAAACAAAACGATAAAAGACGAGATCAGAGACACATCAAGACCGCCCAATTTTTCTTTCATCCATCTTGTGGCAGACGACATCTGCACGTCACTTCCGCATTCGTAATTTAATTAACTTCCGTCTAACTTAATTACTCTCGAATAATCATTGTGCTCCGAGCTACAGTTTTTTAACTTGAAATGCATTATAACTTCTGTATATGAACACTACAGTATCATGTAGCACGTGTTAAGGAGAGAATAAATGTAAAAGTTGATTTCATAAATCCCATTAGGCTTTCGATGACATTTGTTTAATTATGTAATAGATTTAGCTATCAATAATTTTAATTCAACTTTGCAATATTATTAATGTACCTCAAACCGCTTTAATATTTTAATAAAATGTAGCAGTAAAAATTATTAGTCACTGTAACCCAACATTTTACGCCATAACGAACTATATGTTTTGTATATATATATATATATATATATATATATATATATATATATATATATATATATACGCGACATCAGCGTGATAGTATATGTAGTGCTGTAGGTCCATAGCTCAGTGAAAAATTAAAAGTTGTGTTTTTTTCCGTATTAAAAAAGTCCATTTCTTCACGTTGATAAAGCTGTCGATCAGCGAAATGTTCTTTTTTTTATTTGCTTGGTCTACCATGAACACACTGGTTTTTAAATAAGACAATTCATTAAAGTTAATTAGTTGAACTTAGAATATGTTTAGGAAGGGGCTCACTGGATGAGGTGGGTGGTAGGGGCGTAGATGTGGGGGGGGGGGGGGGGATAAACCAGGGTGAGGCAGGGGTAGCTACAAGCATTGACGGAATGACCACTTGTAACATGGAGTGATACTTTACTCGAGGTTTTCGGGCAGAATTTACCTCGAACACCGAACTATTTACAGAACGTACTTCGTAGACAGAACTACATACATACAAAACTTACCTCGATCACCGAGCTATATACAAAAAGGTACCATAAACACCAAACCACGTACTCAAACATCGAACTTTAATAAAAAATACCCCGTACGCCGAATAAAATTTATTTTCTATTATTAAGACCATTGGTCGATAATCTTCAAATACAGAACCCTATTGGCATAGTCAGATGTCACTGATCTTCCCAACACGATGGCTAAGACTCTATGGCCGTCGAACAAAGTATTACGTCAATATGTAAACATTTACCAGTAACCAGCGTTAAGTAAACCATTCTAAAGTCACCGTGTAATCGCATGTAATCGAACAACGATGTAATCGTGTAATCAGACATACACAGCAGTATCCATGCATGTATCGATAGACTGTTGCCATGGTGATTTTGTCTATTTGTTTATCTATTTTTTTCTCTGTTACTTTGTAAATGTGTTTGGATGGAAACTAGAAGATGCGTTATCGATCATAACATTCGATTTCCCACATGTAGATAAATATATAGATCGCTGATTTGTCTCATTATAGAGGTAAACTGAAATATGAATATAAGTAAAAATTGATGTACAAGTAATCAAGTACGTTCAAATATATATATATATATATATATATATATATATATATATATATATATTTGTGTATATTATATATATATATATGTATATATATATATATATGTATATGTATATATATCTATATATATATATATATATCTATATATATATATATATATATATATATATACATATATATATATATACATATATATATATATATATATATATATATATATATATATATATATATATATATATATATATATATATACATATACATAAAGTGTATGTGTGTAATGTATACTTTTTTCAACAATGAGATGCAGAAAGGAATCAATATGTAATCACTGAGTGAGGCTATATTTCCAGAAAAAAATATCGTTCATTGCTTCACAGGGAATAGATTAGTCCCTGATCACGTGATAGGTTTCATCTCCCACCAGAGGCCAGAACAGGTCGCGGGTGCCGGCCAGTACACGGATGGCACTGACGCACTTAGGTGACCGCGAGACTTTTGTGACGCGCCTTGCGGAAGGAATTTCAGTTGTTTTTTGTATCATTATTTTAACTTTCTGATACTGTAACAGTTAGACTCTATATGTTCATGTTTGTATTTTTGCAATATAGCCTACACAGCACTTAACGCCAGTTATTCCCACACACTCAAGCTATACTGCTAATGTTGTAGTTAACTATTCACTACGCGAGCTTCTGTGTGGCTGCCTGTGATGAATCTCGTGAACCACACATTAAAATGATTGGAGAAGTATTTCCCCCATGACTTAACACAAGTTAAGATAGATGGTCATTTCTAGTTATGTCATGGACGCGCGATTGTAACACAACTAGGTAAAACCAAGGTCATCAATGTCCAACCACATATCAACCATATTGACATGACAACCCGCTCCAACCCTCTCACAGCAACCAGATCCCTTGGCGCTTGTCCAAACCTGTAACATCAAAACACTACCCACTCTCAACCCCACTGCCGATTAAGTTTAATTATTGTATCACTGAAATATTCACACGCGTCCCCCTCCCTCCCCCCCTCTCAATACCATCTCAAATTACCCAAGCCTGCATGTTGCCAGTCTTCCCTGAGTCACTCTTCACACTACCAAGTTTCCAGACAGTGCGCAGAGAAGCAGTTTCACCGGTGCCATTAAAAATGCCATTAATTATAGACCGGCTGATTGAGCAAGAGGACTAGGTATAAAGTACGCTGTTGTTCAATCAGATGCAGAAAATCTTTACTTTGAGGGGTCCACAACGGAGACCAGGCTAAAAATCACGTTGCCCCCCCCCCCCTCCCCATTAGACCAGACTAAAACTGGCGTTGCCCCCCCCCCCCATGAGACCAGGCTAAAAATCACGTTGCCTCCCCCCCCCTCCCCATTAGTCCTGGCTAAAACTGACCTGGCCCCCACCCCTCACATAAGACCAGACTAAAACTTACGCTGCCCCCCCCCATGAGACCCGGCTAAAACTGACCTGGCCCCCACCCCCCCCCCCATCAGACCAGACTAAAACTGACGTAGCCCCCCCCCCCC